CGGGTGCACTAACTCAGAGCGAGTTCTCCGATGCTCGCCTAGCAGGTGCGTGTGTCGGGCAGTGCAGGGTGGTCTGCGGAAAAGGAAAGCTCTGCCAGTGGAGCTTTTTCCTTTTTTTTTGCCACCCCCTTATTCCACACGTGGATGGATTTTTAAAATGTCTTGGTTTGATGAGGGGGTGGTGACTTTATAACTCCTTGTGCTCAGAGTCTGGTTCCTTGTCTGATATTTTTGGTACTTTGGTGCTGCCTACCGAGCGCTTTTCCTATCATCTTTGATCCTCATGACAAATCAATGAGATAGACTTGTATCTCGATTTGCTGAGTAGATGAACCTAGTGCCGCGGTTCTCAACCTGAGGGTGGAACGACCGTTTCACAGGGGTCGCCTGATTCATCATAGTAGCAAAATGACAGTGATGAAGTAGCAATGAAAATAATGTTATGGTTGGGGTCACATGAGGAACTGTGTGAAAGGGTCTCGGCATGAGGAAGGTGGAGAACCCCTGCTCTAGTAGGGTTCGTGCAGCAGGTAAATTGGGACTGCGTCCTCCCCAGCACCCCTGTCTCGTGTGTGGCTCTTGGTTGGCACCATTGGGTCACCAGAGCTCAGGGAGTTGGGACTGGGACCGTCCACCACAATCACTGCCCTGAGTCCACTCCATGGCAGTGACCCCATTGCACAGAGCACCATGGTCCCAGCAGGTTCCTGAGGCTGCCATCTTGGACACGGGGAAGCTGATTGCCATCTCTCGCTCTCCACTGGGCACAGGTGGCTCATTGGCCCCAACAGCCGGCCTCTCATTAGCAGTGAAGCACTTAATGATGAGCAAATCTACTCATTAGGACCCTACCTGTGACTCTCACATGAAAAATCATCAGTCATTGGTCTAAGAAAGACCACCTCACTCCCAAGCCCCTTGGAAAATATCCCGCAAAGCCGTGAAGAAACAGTAGGGTGCGGGAGACACAGGCTGAATGGCATCCCAGAATCCAGGGCGTGTTTTCCTTGCATAAGCAAGCAACCGCCTTCGGCTAAGACAATTACTCATTATCAGCAGCTGAGCACATGATCAGCGCTGACAAGAGATGTGCCAGCTTGACCCTAGTCCACAAATCTGTGACCCTCCTTTAGATCCATCTCAGTTTGCACCCACATGATCTCATGTGCTCCTTGGGATGGGGGTGAGGCGGGGTTAGAAGAGGTGCTAATAACTTAGAAGCTGACGCCTAAAATTCTGGCCCTGGTGCAGCAGGCCTGGTCCTACCTGCCTGAGCAGTAGGGACTGCTGCAGCAGAGGACCCAGCTGCCCGCAGTTCCTACGTACCTGCTGAGTGATGGTATTGTGACATCAATGTTAAGTAACCCCATCTCCTTCACTCCCTCCTGCTCTCCGGAATTTACTGCTTAGCAGAGCTCATCCGTGTAAATAAATTAACAGGAGTGCCAGGCATTTGCAGTTCAGGACACATAATTTTCAAATTACTTGTTTCGGAACTCTTACTAAGTCCTTCAATAATTCACTTCATTTACAAAACAAAACCCAAGTTAAATACAGACTAGGCTCCAATGAAGCCTCAAAGATGCTCAAAGGCTTCTCTCACACCCTGAGAGGGAACTAAATGTGTCGTTTAAACTAGTGAGCCGGCTTCACGGAGTGGACGGGAGGTCTGGGCACTGAGTCATCTCCTGAGTCCTTCCTAGCTCCAGTGGGGAGGGTGCACTCACAGGGAGGGAAATGCCCTGCGAATTAGGAAACAGCCCTGGAGGGCAGCCTGGGTGAGGGCAGGGTGTGGATTCTGCAGCTCTCCGATCTCCATCTGTCCCCATAGCTTCCCGGCCCCTGCAGTACCACTGCAGGCTTCTGCAGCGTTGGCTGTTCACATTCTCCATGCAGCAACCCAGAGTTTTTTTTGCCCCGATCTTCATTTTTGACATATTTGCCCTTGATTTCCACCAGGTTGGGAGATAATGGAGCCCGGGGGGTAGGGGGACTCGCTCCTCTTCGCATATCCTAAATACTGTAGAGAATCAGGGCAGCCATCGTCCTCAGCTTAGGGCACAGTGATGCATAGAGAACGAGAGATGGGTTCTGGCGTCCCGGACTTGAACGTACCAACTACCACGCGGGGCTTGGCAGGATGGGGTGCCCCAGGGTCCTGAGTTGGCCATGAGGAGCATTGGGTGCTGGGTTCTGATTCTGGCTGGACTACTCCTGAGCTCCGGACAGATGAGAACGCAGCTGGGGACGTGAGGTTCTGATACTGGCAGGGTCAGTGCCAGCAGCTGAGGTTCAGACGTGGATAGGGTTCACTTTAAGATTGGGGGTAGTGACCAGGGCAGAGTTTGCTCTGAATGTGGGGTTCGGATGAAGGTAAGGTTTGCTTTAGGTTTGGGAATACTGGTATGGGAAGGGTCTGTTTGGGGATTGGGGGGGGGTGTCTTTTGTTAGAAGGGCTTGTGTGGGGAATGTAGGGTTCCAATGTAAACAGTGTGGCATCTGTGGGGTGGGGTGTAAGAATAGAATAAGTCTGTCCTGGAATTTGGGGGGTCCTAATGATGTGAGGGTATTCTCTGAGATTTGGTGTCCTGATCAAGGCAGGTGTAGCTCTGGAATTTGGGGTTCTGATGTGGATAAGGTTGACAAAAGGATTGGGGTTTCAAACCTCAGCAGGTGGAAATAGAGTTTGGGGGTGGGGTCCTCGTGTTAGTGAGGCTCGTTTTGAATCTTGGCCTCCTCACGGGGCACCGCTGGCTTTAACTTCCGAGGGCCAGTGGAGAGTTGTGCGAGGACACGGGATAGACTCAGGTGGGTTCAGCGTGTGCTTTGGGGCTCTGCTATGGTAAGGGTTTGTGTCCCATTTGGGAGTCCTTGGGAAGGTCCTTGGCTTCGAGGCGTGGGTTCCGCAGGGGTCACAGCGAGCTTTGGAGACAGACCAGCTTTCAGATGTGGGCGGTCAGTCTGTGTGGAGTCTGGGGGTCCATGTGTGGGTAGGGTTCATCTCTGTTCTTGGCATCTTTGTGAGTGCTGATAGCCCCTTTGGAGACTGGGGGCTCACAGGTGGGCACTTCTGCCCGGGCCCTTAGGGCCATGGGGGGTGGGGGTGGGCATCAGCTCTGGTGTTCAGGTTCCTACCTTAGCCCAGGGCAGCATATGGAGCTGCGGTTCCAACGTGAACAGGTTTGCTGAGGTAGGCGGTCCTAGTAGGGCTGCGGCTAAGGGCTCTGGTATTCATAGAGGGTTTCAAGTTCCTATTTAGCCAGATCAGCCCTTATTTGAGCACTAGCGTCCTTATGAGGGCAGATTTATTGATGGATTTGGGTTTCAGAGGCAGTCTGTTAGCTTGGAGATTTGGGGTTCCGTTTGGGGCAGGTCTGCTGTGGGCTTGGAGAGGGGGTCTTGAAGTGGGCAGGTTGTTTCAGGCTTTGGCCTACTTGAGTGGAAATGGTTGGCTGAAGGATTTGGGGTTCAGAAGGCATCGCGTGATTTGCTTTGAGTTGGGGAGTGCTGTGCAGCTTGGCTCTGGTTTTGGAAAGGCTGTCTGTCAGGGCCTGGCAGTTCAATGTGGGCGCCACGGTTGGCTTTGGGACTTGGGGTCGTTATGAAGGCATGGGGGCTATGATTTAGAGTCTGGGGCCTGCTGTGGGTCAGCTCTGGGATTTGGGTGGGAAGCTCCGAGGTAGACAGTACTTTGAGAGTGGGGCCCATCTTCCTGGCAGATGGCCCTTGTGGAAGAGGGCCTTGAGACTTGGGGTCTAATGTTTCTGGGGGGCTGGTGCATTCTCAGGTGGCCAGGGATCCAGCATTCTGAGGGGGCGGGTCTTGTTTGGGGGACTGAGTTGTGCGGGAAGGGGCTTGGGGCTCAGCAGGCTCCCCCTAGGTGCTGGTGGCCCTTGGGTGGGAGGAAGGCCGTGAATGCGCAGGGGTGGGGCGGGGCAGGGGCCACCTTGGTCCAGGTACTGGATCCGCTGAAGGTTGAAGGGGATGCCGACCATGAGGTCCAGCACCTCCTTGAATTCCCGCACGGTCATGTCGCTGCGACAGTTGGCCACGCGGAACATCTCCCCGGTTTCTTCCAGGCGCACCCGCAGGGTGAAGATTTCGGGGTCCTGGTCTTGCAAGGGGCTCCCGGCCCGAGAGGCCCGCGAGGTGCGGCTGAGCTTCGGCTTCCCAGCACGTGCTCGGGCCAGGGGCGATGAGGTGCCAGGTGGAGGGCCGGTGCCGCCTGCGCCGCGCCCTGCTCGCGCCCGCTCTGGGGTCGCCATCGTGCTGTCCAGGCCCCCGGCCCTTCGGCCGCGCCCCGAGGCAGGGCCGGCAGTGCGTTCCGCAGGCCCGGAGCGCGAGCTCATGCTCGCGGACGCCAAGCCGGGCTGGCCGGGGCGCGGGCACGGGCGCGTCACAAAGGCGGCAGCCGAGACGCGCGGGCCAGGTTCGCACGGGGCGCGGCGGACAGCGGTCCGCTCCCTGGACAGCCGGGATTACAGCCTTCCTTCCAGTTGCCGGCGGATGGAGATGCCTGCACGTCCCTCCGCGGGCGTGGTCTCTGCTCAGGCTTCAACACCTAAGATCGCAGGAAGACGGGCGTGGGCAGCCCTCCGCCAGGCGCCCTGGACATCTGGGGCGAGGAAGGCGCTGATGCGAACCTGACCGTGGGGCCAGTGGCCATTCGGGCTGGCTGGCCCTGTCCTGCTGTGTAGCTGCAAGGCCAGCAGCCTGTGGGCAGAAGGTCCACTGGGCGGTCCTCTGAGCACAATGGAGCCCCCACGCCCCATCCCACTACACACAAGATAAACTGAGGGGCGTGGGTGTAGGGTGTGTGTGCTAGAAGGGGTGTGGTAAGGCAGCACAATCTTAGAAAAAGCTCTACTGTCACAAAAGAATAAAATGCAAGCTTACTTTTTAAAAAAGTCTTTTAGCAGAGAAATGCTGTGCGTGGGCACGTCTTCACAGCGGAGAGGTTGGCATCCAGCTCTAGGGAACGGCCTGTCTACCTGAGTCACGTGTCCACAGAGCTCGGTGGCCCAGTGCGCAGACTCAGCACAACTCAGCTGGGGTTTTGTTGGGCTTTTTTCCCCTTAATGGGAAAGTAGGGTCTGCACACAACACGAGATTGTGGCTCAGTAATTCTCCCTGCTGCAAGATCAACAAATTTCAACAGCATGACAATCTCAAGTTTGAGGTAATGGACATTTTTAAACGTCAAAATCGTTTGTTACTGAGCACATTACGTCCCTCTCTTGACGTGAGGCAAGTATTACGCATCAGACAGACTGATTCATTTATTAACTCACTTTTTCCTGAGGTTGCCCAAATGTTATCCTGGGCTACGTAAGGTCTGTAGTTCTCACAAGTGGGCCTTATTTTCTTCGGCACTATATAGACTCCTTCCTTTCTTTTTCAAGAATCAGCTCGATGGAATTTGGGGAGGGGAGACAAACATCCTGCTGGCCACAAAGTTCAATATTGTCAGCAGTCACATAAAGACAATAAATGAGAGAAAAGATAAGGGGAGGGAGGGGAAAGGGAAGTTGCTCCTTTAGAGCTAGCTCTTGAACTCCAAACGGACTGCTGCCCTTTCCCTCCTCCAGCCTGCCTCCCTGTGAGAGCCGGACAGCACAGGGATATGCGGGCACCACGGTGGTCAAAAGGTGATGGTAGTTTGAAGTGGAGATGTGTTTCTGCCCCAGAGCATTTTTGTCTCAGCCTGGATCTCAAAGTGCATGAAACTGAATTTTGTGTACCTGAAAGTCCACTTGGAGAGGCTACAATTCTAGCCCCTCCCCCCCCAACCACTGGTGTGTTTGTGGAGCAAGCGTGTGGGCTATGGGGAAGTACGAGGGGTTACTTTGTGATTCCAAGTTTCTCCCTGTGCCACCATTCAGCTTGAAGCTTCTAGCAAAAGCCCCAGGCACATAGTCGGTTACCCAGCCCACCCCGGATGAGGGCAAGTTCCGAGCATGGCTCCCAAGCAGAGTCCATACAGTATTAGAAAAGACAGACATAAATCGTTCTTTAGCTTTTGTGTGTGTTTTTTTTTAAATAGCTCATTTTCAAAATAAACAATTTGGGGCTATATTTGCAGCAACTCGAGATGGGAGCATAAATTTAAATGATGTATTTGTTCTGTTCACTGATAAGAGGCTAACATTACATCCATATATTTTCTTCCTGTCAAGCTATTTACATATGTACAGCATTTCAGATACAGTCACAGATAACATTTGCCACCATAAACCATGTTGTGGAGGGAGGCACCGGGAAGCCAGGGCTGCGAGCCTGTGAAGGACTTGGGAGCTTGGAGGAAGCTCTTTTATTGGCAGGACGTGGGCTTCGTAACCAGGGAGAGCCACACTGGCCAGCCACCCTATGAGCCAGGGAGCGAGCGACCCCACACACGCACCCGCTACCCGGAGCTGCCATCTTGGTGCAGACCTGAGCAGGCCCTGCACCGGGGCTGCAGGCGGGAGGCAGGGGGTGCTTGGAGTGCATGTTGGGACCATCTAAGACATTGTTCTCTCGCAGCATGCCCCACACTATCATTTGTCCCCCTTCCGTTTCCAAGAAGCCGTGTGCAGCACCTCGGATGATCTCAAAGGGGTTCATTCTGGTTTTCCAGCGTGCACGTGTCGACGATATTCCGCCGTTTGGGCTGGAGAGTGGCGAAGAAGGAAACATCCTGGTCCCGGTCCGATTGCAGAGCTAAGACGGTCTCCTGTACCACCTCAAGATGAGGGTTCCCAGCATTTCTGAAATACGCTGGAGGGAGCGAGAGACCAGGGCCTGAGTCCCAGATGCCATGGACTGTGTTCTAATAGACACTCCAGTGTTCTGGCCTTTAAGCCACGTACCATCCAGATCAAGGAAGCAATTCTCGCCAGGTGATGATCTGCCCACCCCCACCCCCCACCCCAATCTCCAGCCTCAAAAAAGTAACACTGCCTCCAGGGAGCAGTTTTTCTTACATTTGGAAACTAGACTGCCAAGAACAAGGATGCCTGTGTTAAAGGTTTCATGACTAACCAAACTGGACTGCTGTTTGTTTCCTCACGGTGGGCTGCGGAGGAGCAGTGGCTGCTGGTGGGGCAGGCGGGAGGGGCAGGAGATGTCTTGGGTTTGGGGGTGGAGGGGGCAGGTTTCCTATGCCTTCTACCTAGCCATGCCCAATCGTCTAAGAACTGAGGGTGGGGCTGTAAATGAATGTTCAATAAAACCAGGCCACCACACGGGCTCATGCAGCTAGCTGTCTGCCCGCTCCAGTCACAGACTTGTTCCTCCCCGTGGCAGCGCGGTGGCATTTTCGGCTTTCAGCCTCTGTGTTTTAAACATAAACTCACACTGCATTCTTTCCCTTGAATTGTGTGATCAATAACATAGAGAGGCTCTGCCTGGGGTTACACAGTGGGCTGCTATGGTCAGCAGTTCGAAACCAGCCTCTCCATGGAAGGAAGACAGGGCTTTCTACTCCCACAGTGACAGGCTCGGAAACCCACAGTTCTACCCTGTCCTGTAGGGTTGCTGTGAATTGGAATCCCCTCGATGGGAGTGGGTCTTGTGGTGGTCCTGACCACCAAGGGAGGAGGTTGAGGACATGTCCTGGGGGCGGGGGCACTTACCCTTCTCCAGCAGGGTCTGCCTCAGGGTCTTGGCAAGCAGGACGCGCACGTTGGGCACCGGATCGGAGGCGAGGCTGAGGAGGCTGGGGAGCAGGTGCTCCACAAACTGGTCCACGGGGATGCCTTCAGCGCTCACCACCGCCTGCAGGGAGAGCCTGGTGCTGAGGGGCACACGGGGCTGCGGGGCCATAGCGACGGGCCTTGCAAAGGAGGGCGCTCTCGGCTGCTATTTTCACGGCAGGAGAGTGCCTGGCCTTTCTACCTCTGGGGAGTGCGAGACCCCTCTTTGGGTTAGCAGCAGAGTGCTTACCCCAGGGGCCACCAGGGCTGCTACTAAAAGAGTCCCCCGGTGTGGGTCCAGCATCTGCAGGTGCGAGGGGGGTCTGCACTGGGCCTGGTCGGACCTGTGCCGAAGGTCACCCTGGGTCAGGGAAGCTGAATCTTTGGGATCATGGCTTTGGGTGAGTGAGTCAGCCTTCAGAGCATCAGTTTCCCCATCTGCACTAGGAGATGGGTCCCAACCTCTGTTACTGGGCGGTCCTGGGGCAGCCAGGCCCAGAGTCCCAAGAAGTTCAGGTGGCACCGTGTTGAAACACTCGGCTGCAAACCCAAAGGTAGACCACTTGAAGTCACCCTGCGGCGCGGCGCTGCAGGAGCAAGGCCTGGCGGTCCGTCCCCGGGAGACCCCTTGGAGTCAGAACTGACAGTACAGCAAGGGAAGGGCTCCAGGGCCCAGCCCTCAGTTAGCAACTGCTCGGGCTTCTCCGCACCAATCCCAGAGCCTGCCCAACACTCGCTCCCTTCTTTCTCCCCACCACCCTCAGAAAGCACAGCAGCCCTGCTGGATGGGGAGAAGGCCTGCGTCCCACATGGGCCACCAAGGCGTCCGGACAAGAGGGCCAGGCTGCCCCTGGGCCCGGGGCTCTCAGCCCTGTGCAGTGTCCTGCCTGAGGAAGTCAGAGCTATGGCCCCAGAGTAGCACCAGACTTGCTGGACTCAGGGCGCCCACAGATTTTCCCTGGTCAGAAACCTGAGTCTGCGAGGTCGACTGGCGCATCTGCCATCCTGCTCCTGCAGGCGTCACAGACTGCAGGCATAGGTGATGACAGGTAGGGGACACGCAGGGCCACACGGGGCCAGGGATCGAGCTGTGAGCCTGACTGGGGCTCTGTCCTTTCCACTTCCAGGCACAGACCCCCGCAGCTCCGCGGGAAGGACAGTGTGGCCCTGCGGAGGCCCCCGGGTACCACAGCGTCCTTTGGTTGTGCTGGCCTAGGCTTTCTAAATCTCCAATAATTCGTGAAAGAAGTTAAGAAAAAAAACCACCTCACTGTTGGGGCCATGCCATTTCTGGTTGGCTTGCTCCAGTGTGGTTTCCTGAACCTTGTGACGTAAAAGCAAAGGTCTTGGTGACACGTCCATCTCCCGCCCAATGACGCAAACGCTGAGGGAGTGGTGTGTGTCTGGCCGGCATGGTAGTCACTCTGCCAACCGCTGCCCGGCTCAAAGCCGATGGTCAATGAGCCAGTGGTGCCCCCCCAAACCAACAGGGGGCAGTGGTGAGTCCACTGAGGGGCTGAAGGAGAGGGAGGGAGGGCCGGGCACCGCTGTACAACCAGCTAATCTGGGGGGACGGGGACGCGTCTTCCTGTCCCCAGGGCCTGGTGCTGCTGCCGTTCCCTTGGCTTTGGCAGATGCCACAAAGCACGGCCGTGTCAAAGGGAGGCCTGCCTTCCCCAGTCTGTGTGACCGCAGCACGTGACCAAAGCTCGGGGCTTCCCATGCTTCCTGTGACAAAGCTGAGTTCCAGGTGAGCACGCATGCACTGGGGCCACATACAGCGATCCCTGAAGAGACACCAGCACTTGCCATTATCTCCTGATAGATGAGCCACTGGCTGCACCAGCCATGGCATTGGGGCAGGAGGTCATGTTGCTCTGCGCCACCCCCCCACATACTACTACCACCTCCACCTCCACCTCTACCACCACCACCCTACAGCCCCGCCGCTCCAATGCAGGGAGGGCGCTGACCAGATGGCCCACACTCCGTCACAGCATCTAGAGCTGGCGCTGACGTCTGGTGAGGCTGACATCGGCACTCGGACACCCACACCCAGGGGCACACTGACCTGACAGATGAATGCGAAAGCTTGCCTTCCGACCCATTTAGGGCAGTGCCGAAACCTGACGATGAGTTCGTTGATGAAATTCAAGCCCAGGCCACGCTCACTGCTCGAGTAGAACTTGTGCAGAACAGCCACGGCCTGTGAAGAACGCCAGAGGGGCCACCTGAGCCACCACCAGCGTCCACGCGAGGCGTGGGTGAAACAGATGCAGCAGGGACCCAGGGGGGCTTATGCAGCTTTCAGGGGAATTTAAAAGCGTGACAGGAAGTAATTTTTGTCACAGCCATCATTAGCACACGGGGTAAAAAGATGTTTGAGTATATGGCCACATGCACACACTGACACACACAAACCCTTCACCCAAATGGAATTTATGAACTGGCAAGAGAAAAAGGCATTATTAATCTTAAGGTTCCAAATCTTGCAGCATGTTCCCTTGAATACTAACTAAACCATCAACTTTCAGAATGTGTCCTTTTTATACCACTTTAATACATACCGTCAGAGACCTAATAAGTACATCAGTGTTTTCAAACGGCAGGTTTGGAGGGCCTGTGTGCAGCTGGCCTAAGCCCACGTGGAACAGAACCATCAGGTGCTGGAATCACTGAATCCTTTTCCTACAAAGCCTGCCTGTTGGACAAGCCCACTGTGTTCAAGAGGCACACCACGTCACGGTCTTCAGTGTGGCTTGTCTACATTATGATTTATTTGGAATTTCCATCACTGAAGCAGACAGCTCTGCACGCGCGCACGCACACACACACACATTTGATAAGACTAGAATATAGTTCACAAACTTGAAACCTGAGTTCACGAGTAAAAGCTGCCAAGTTCTGCCCAGAAATCAATCAATCAATCAGTTAATTAAAATGGAAGCCACCCTAAGCATTTCTAGTCCCAAAAGTCACCAAGCGCAAACGCCAGCCTGACTCCTTACTAGCTTGAAGGAGATCCACCGCACTTCAGAGACTCTGTCTGCACACAGTCTCAGCGCAACCTGCATCAGGTAATCGTGCACATCGCTGGCCTCGTACAGCTCCAGAACCAGGATCAGCTGTCTGAAAGTGGAGGAGAGCATGCTGTTGGCAAGGGCAGCCAAAGCCAAGACTCGGTCGTCACTGCTCCTGACGATCGTTTTACCAGACAGATCACAGCAGCTGGGCCGGGAGTGTGGGAGA